GAAAATCATTTATAAGTAAAGCGGACCGACGGAAAAGCAGGAGTTTGCTAAATAACACGCAGAAAAAGATGAAAATTGGTGGAATAGAGTAATCTTTGCCGACAAATCGAAAATGAACATCTGTTGATCCGGTGGAAGAATTCGGGTGTGCAGGAGACCAAATTAAGAACTGGAAGGTGAAGCCACGTAAGAAGAGCGTAGGTTTACGGGGCCGGAGTTAGTGTTTACTTGGCTATTCCAGATAGCCAAGTAAGTAGAAGCCATGTAAGCAGCCGTGAAGCACGGAGATGGAAATGCAACTGTGTGGGGCTGCATGTCAGTCAATGATGGCTGTGAACTGTTCGTAGAGCAAATGGTGACCAGGTTCCACTATCTTGACATTCTTAAACAAAATTTAAAACAAAGTGATGAAAATCTTGTTATTCTTCATAGATTTTATTGTTATCGGCATAATGATCCTCAACTCAAGTCGCAGGTTGTTCATCTTTGACTGCTGTACAACTGCGTAAAGGTACTTCATCCACCCCGTCAGTCACCAGACTTTACTATTATTGAACATCTTTTGGAAAAAATTGGAAAAGGAGATGAGAAAATACCCAATTCATTCCAAACAAGAATTAAAGAAAATTATGTCCCAAAACTTGGTACAAAATATACCAAATATACTGAAGGAAGTGCTCTAGCGAAAGGGGATGGCTACTAGATATTGAACTCTCTTACTGAGTTATTTTTTACGTGTTTTTTGTGTTTGAACATTATTTACCGTGTATATTTTTTTTATATTTGCATTCAATTGTCCGAATAGTTTTGTGACTTAATTTATCAGCATAACATATTGACATTTTAAAAGATCACTTGATTATTGTGATTTTCTTTCGCTGCTAGATGGTAAAAAGAGTGAAAGCTGTGTGATCCGAGTGAACAGACTCCGGCCCCGGAAACCTACGCTCTTCCTACATGGCTTCTTCTAGCTCTGAATTTGGTCTCCTGCACACCCGAATCACACAGCTTTCGCTCTCTTTGCCATCTAGTAGCGAAAGAATGTATCACTCGGACGACGAAACAGATGATTAGAATTTAGCTCACAGTATTATTTTAGTATTGAAATTCATAGCACAACATTCAGGTGCAAGAGCAGAATAATGACTTGAGTCTTTCCATATTGGCATCATGGAATTGAAAGTAATTGCATTCGAACTTGTGCAATTGAGCAGTTTTGATAACACGGATTGATAAGTCGGGCTTCCGCAGGCTCCCCTCCCGCGATCATATCTCGCCACAACCGCGACTCCCCGATACTTCAATATCAAAAAAACATAAAACCAAATATTTGGAGGGAAAAGATTAAAAGGGGTAACATTTTAAATCGCGAACACTTTCGATTTTTTCTTGGACGCTCAGTAGTAGTTAGGCAAACATTGGCGTGAATTACACGCATTCCCAGAGCTCCTGAATTATAAAAATATAAAGAACGTAACGGATAAACATATTTAAACGAATAAAAGACGCATTTGAAGACTTCGAATACTTATTTTTATGTACATTAATTTTCATTTGTGTAAAGTTTTAAACTATTAGTGAAAGTGTGGTGATAATGGTGAAAAAATTCAGTTTTGTGATGAACAAAAATTCAAACAGTGGTATAAAGGAAGAATTTGAAATTTGAGCCTCAAATTGTCGCATACAAAAATATTGACTTTTTATTCGGCTTACGAGGAATTTTCGGCAGAAAAAGCTATTACTGGGACCTGGTAACGAAAAAGTGGATAAATCTTGTTGCTACATATAGTAAATTACCTCTTTTAACATGCTGTGTGATTAGAATCTGTTTTGTGGGTCCTTGATACCAAAAAATCAATCGTCTGCCTGCCCGTCCGTCTGTGGTCAACACTAGCGCCCCAACGTTTTAGCTGATTTTCTCCAAAATGGTTATTCGTCGATCGATTTAAATGAACTCGAGGCCCTCTGGGTTTGAGATGATCATTTTGATTGTAGGGAGTAAATAATGTAAAGCCCCCCCTCAAAAATAAAATTAAAAACTTTTCTAAAAAATGACTCAACATTTTTTTAATAAACTTTGCACAAGTTTATATTTCTCGGCGTCTTCCTACAACTGCAATATTAAAGAGAGGGACTTCGTTTCTTAATAAAATCAGGTGCTAGTCTCATTTCGGACCATAAAATAATATTTTGCCAGCAATCGATTTTTCGGTTCCAAGGTTCCACAAAACATGGATTCTGACTACACAGCGTGGTAGAGGAAGTAGTTAATTATATATAGGAACAAGATTTATCAACTTTTTCGTTACCAGGGCCCGGTAATAAGAGCTTTTTTTTGACGAAAATTCGTCATTAGCCGAACAAAAATTAACTATTTTTGTATGCAACAATTTGAGGCTGAAATGCCAAATTATTCCTTTATACCATTGTTTGAATTTTTGTTTACCACGAAACTGATTTTTTTCACCGTTATCACCACACTTTCACCAATAGTTTAAAACTTTATTACAATAGCCGGTCAATAAGAGGTTTACTGTCGAAAATTTGCCGTTTTGTAGCGCACGGTTACAACTATTGTTCATCTTACGAAAGAAGGGCGAGAGAGTAAAAACAATATAATTGTATAGTGTACTGTATTGTGATCATAGTTGCGCAAGGTGAGCAAATTTTCCTGAATAGTTTCTCTCCTGCAGGTCGCTCTCTTACGCACTAATAACACACCATCCCGCGACGAGAAAATGAGAATCCTGGTAGTACGTTTTCTGAGAGCAAACGAGGTAGCTTGACGGACGTGCGGGGTCGTAAGTCCAAGGTTGCGCATCCGGGCGTTGCAGCATAGAAAAAACAATACTCGCCTTTCTCTATGGTTGGAGAACGTGCGGACGGCTGATTTAGTCTTTCCGCAGACCGTAACACGTCCTTCTTCTACACTGTTTTTCAATTTATGTAGAGTTCCTTGCCGAACCACTAAGTCATTTCAAGGTGTAAAATAATGTCAAATAACTAGAGAAGTAGACCATGTTGAATTATACCTCCAATACTGGTCGTTTGGGAGAGAGAGAATATAAATTTTTGAAAATATAGGAAATCAACGAAACTGAGATCCGCGCCATTCTTTTAAGCATCATCTTCACCTATAGGTGGAAAAAATGGAAAGAAAAAAAATTGGAGCGGTTTTCGAGGGAAAATGTTAGATGTTTTAAAAACAGCGTATGTTCCGCGCCATATTACGCGAAAACTACTAATTTTTTTTTATTCCGGGGACATTTTTACAGCTTTCAGGGTTCCTGATTTCGGCTATCCTCAACGGGTACCCACTATGTCCCTCGTGGGGGAGGGGGGCATATTAACCTTTACACTAGACACACTTGCGGGCTCTTCGGTCAGTGGTCAGCACACGTACAAGGCCTTCCGCAACAGCACACATATATGAAAGATAAGGGACAAACAACCATGCCCACGGCTGTACTCGAGCCTGCGACCCTTGGACCGAGGCGCTGAGTCGGCGTACTCTCTAGCCACCTGGGCCATTCAGATCGACACACGAAAACTACTCATATTTTCGAAAATTGAACATGAACTTATTTAATGATCTGTCTTTAGGAAACAGATTTTATTCAGGAAATAAATAGATATCTTCAAATGTATGTAGAAAGACGCCACAAGAAATTGCACTTTTACAATTTTCAAAAAATCTGAGTTTTCAACGATTATGAGACTTACATTATTCGCTTAAGCGTCTTTAACGCTATCCGAGGACAAAGTTTAATGAAAGTATTTACCGCCATTTTTGAGAAAATTTTTAAAATGTTTGAGTCATCTTGAAAAGTTCTCTGAAAAATCAAAATATTCTCTTGAAACTACCAAAGCCTGAAGTTTATTTAGATCGATCGGGGAATATCAATTTTTAAGAAAATCGGCTGAACGGTTTAGGCGATTGCGTTGACCACACACAGACGGACACAGACGAACAGACGTTTTGCTGTCAATCGATTGTGCGGTATCAAGGACTGGCAAAATAGGGATTCCGGCTACATCACGTTTAAAATTTTTTTCTACATTTAACAACAGGATTTATCCAATTTTTTTCTTTCTAGGGCCCGGCAATAACAGTTTTTCTCTCGAATATTCGCCGTTTCCTGGAGCACGAATATATAACTATTTTCTTAAGAAGTACTTCCGTAAGGCCAAGAAAGTACAAATCAAGACATATAAAGCAACAAGAATGCATGCTTAGACGGTTTTTCTTAATGACGAAACTCAACACTCATTATTCTGAAGCGTTTCTAGGAATAGTGAATATTGTGGGTGCTGGTGATACTGCAGTGAAATACTATCTCAGTGAAATATGATTTTAATCTATTTTTCATAGGTTAAAAAGTTTAACATTTTGTCTCCATTCTCACTTACTATATATCTTCGCTTGTGGGAAATCCCAAGCAGTTTTGTGAACACCGCAATTTTCCATTCACGAACTGGCGTAGGTGGCTCAGGCCATCAATTGCTGCGACTACAGTGCCTCTCACCGTGAAGTGTTAGAGTTCAAGTCCCGACGGTGACAGGATGTTCGACACAACTAGATAGCTAGGTCGAATTCTGTCGCAGTTTGGAGAATAATTCGAACGGCCGGCTGTTTGATCGGTAGTTTTCCGTGGTTTCTTCGATCAACACCAGGCGAATGTCGGAGCAATACGCTAGCAAACGGGCCACGGACCACGCGCGATCTTTCCTTTCTCTTCCTTGCCCTATCCTGACCCTATACTTACACACACACACACACACGCACACACTACCACACATGTAGGGAGACATTCCGGCTGGGGTGGTGCCACGCTGGTGAGAGGTACCTGTTTGGGGAAATCCCCGTGTGTAAGTTGGCGTCGGATCTCGCCATCCAGCGAGGGCGATCACCGCCACCTTCCTCTACAAAACCATGCGCGATTTGCTACTGCTCAGTCCGCGTAGTCCGAGAGCCTTCATGTCCCTTGTTGGTGTGCCAGGCAGCCGCTAGGGGCGCGGGCGGCGGGCGCCGCCGGAGGCCAGGGCTGGACGCTGCTGAAGCAGATGGCCGCGTGGAGCATCTACGGTTGGGGCTGCCCCGCCCTCTTCACCGTCTTCGCCATCCTCATGTTCCTGAACCGAGCGCAGGTGCAACACACTGGCTTCGAGTCGCCTGACTTCGTCGTTCTTCGAAACCAGGACGTGCCTCTCGGAGAATAAGTTGTTCAAGAAAACTGATGGAAAACTAGGTAATTTTTTTTTCGATTAAAAAGTGATGCGACTGCAACGCTTGCATGCGTGACAGGATATACAGCCATGCACACAAAAAAACGTTGTGTTCGTGTCTGGGGATCAGACTACGTTTTCCATATGTTTTTGGGGTCGCTAAATCCGAATTCGGTGTCCATTTTACTCCATCACATCAGGTTTTTGACATAAACCAAAAAATAGAAAAAATGAAAGAGATTTCTAACCGACGGGTATGACCATGTTACCTATATGTTTTTGAGGGCGCTGAAATCGAATCTGAAGTCCATTTAACTTCATCACATCAGATTTTCTAATTCAGATAAACTATAATTGATAGAGAAGGTGGCATTGGCCTCTGACGGGACAACATACATCACGGTGTTGTATGGCAGATTGCCTACATCGTTGGCACCAAATCACTAGCCTTCTCTCCATGCAGACACAGATTACAAAAAAAGTTTTGATGTCATGCGAAAAATGCTTGGCCCCGTGCTTGACCTGCGCTTCTCCCCGCTTGTCCCCACTTGCACCACGATTGACCCCGCGCTTGTCCCCGCTTGTCCCACGGTTGACTCCGTGCTTAGTCTCGCGCTTGTCCCCACTTGCCCTACGGTTGGCTCCACGATTAGCCTCGCGCTTGTCCCCGCTTGTCCCACGGTTGGCTCCGCGCTTAGTCTCGCGCTTGTCCCCACTTGCCCTACGGTTGGCTCCGCACTTAGTCTCGCGCTTGTCCCACGGTTGACTCCGCGCTTAGTCTCGCGCTTGTCCCCACTTGCCCTACGGTTGGCTCTGCGTTTAGTCCCGCGCTTCCCCTTGCGTCACCCACTTTAGATGCTTTGATGGTTGCATATTCAACTGAATTATCACACTTTGGTAACCGTCTATGAAAGAATTTTAATAAGGTCCTAATTTGGGCCATGGAGTACAAATCTCTAAAAAACATTCACAGTGGTTGAAACGTTTAGTAAACTGCTAATTATCATTGCTTTCACACACATTGTAAAAAGTGCATGAAACGGAGTTGTATTGATTTATATATCTTACATTTGGCTCTAAATCTTAGCAACCTCGTATACACAGATGTACGGCAGGCACTCTGTCGAACATCTGTGCATAAGAATGTCTTGTAAAATCCCGAGAAAACGCCGCATGTGTCACATCAATATATGAAATTTCCCCCTACGTGTTTATTGGCAAAATCAATCATGTGTAATCACAAAGATTTGTAATAATAATGGAATGGTTGCTTTTAATTTTCATACCTCATTTCATATACCTGGTTGATAATGTGAAACCTTCTGTAGGGTAGAAAATGTCAAATAGATGGCGTAAGGGGTAGCAACCTCCAGGAGTCTAGCGATGCCTTACCAACGGCTATCAGGCTGGTGAGTCATGGCTTGGCCATAGTCCTGCAAGGCAATGGTCCCAGATGCCTGACGAGGCCAGGCCTGAGATTTCAATATGGTTCGCATGGCAGATGCTTTATGTGTGCAAATGTGCACACACACACACACGCGCACACACACACACGCGCACACACACACACGCGCACACACACACACGCGCGCACACACACACACACGCGCACACACACATACACACGCGCACACACACATACACACGCGCACACACACATACACACGCGCACACACACACACGCGCGCACACACACACACGCGCACACACACACACACGCGCACACACGCACACGCTAACTGTGTTTTGCGTCTTTGTGTTGTTAGAGTTCTTCGAGGCAGCGGGTATTTCCCTCCTTCTGGAGAAAGAACTTCCACATAAAGTTTCAGCGATAAAAAACGTGGGAGCCATGTACTATTACTACATTCCCATGTCTATACTGGTTGTGGCAAACGGCGCCTGTTTGGTCTCCACCGTCATTGTTATCCGGCAGTTACAGAAGAACACATCTGCCGTGCAGAATATGGGCTCCAGCACTGGAGTTGCCTACGGAGGATTACGGACGTAAGGCACCACATTATTAACTGATTTCGAAAAGAGCGTGTTATACAACTTGTCGTGCATATTTTTCTGTTTGTTCAGTAATACATTTTGCAAGTGGGATAATGATATTAAGTAATATTGTTTCCTCCAACGGGGGCTAAATGATATCTCAATGTACAGAAGTGGGGCAACACTTTTAACCGTGCAGAGAAAACAAAATAAAATGGCTGGTTGTTATATAAAATTGGTATTGCCGAGTCTACGCGTGACAAAAATTGAGATAAATTTTTACAATATGGTTTTTTATATGATATGATTTTTACGATATGATGCGTTTCTCTTCCCACCAAAGTAAGCCTCCATTGTTACATTTCTCAGCAACATGGTCAGTGCTCTTCCATAATTGTACAAATGGTACTGGCTGTTCGGGTGACGCCGAGTAGATGGCTCACGTGCCCACGTTTCGACCATTTTGGCGTGGTCTTCCTCAGAGCTCGTGTGCCAAGGAAGACCACAATCCTTGACACGGCGTTACCGGGGCAGCCAAGATCATTTGCATAACTCTGGCCGCCGAAGCCTATGGCTTCGCTTATGTATTATTAGTTAGGATAGGTGTTATTGCCTTATCTAAGTCTCAGGAAAAGGAGAAAATAATCTATCTCCAAGTATTCATCATACATATGTTCGTTTCTCGTAATATTCCATCCATTTGTGAGCACAATTGTCGCATCATTCTATTTTCCTTTGAAAATCTTATTTTACTATTCAAGAGAACACGAAACTGCTGTATGATTCAATATGTTTGCTGCTTGGTCCTTTTAAATCAAACTTTCGTGACTAAAGCGTCATGAATCTTACTGCTTAAGTTAATTTTGGAATGGTCATTACAATTGTGATGAGGTTTAACTGCGAAAGCCCGAACGCCCAACCGATTTAAAATCTTTAAGAACTGAGCTGAAAAAAACCGCAAAATAAAATGTGACGCTGACAATGTTAATTCTCAATATGTTAAATCAATTTTGAAGAAATGTGGTCATATTTCATTTCAACATTTTCGATTTAATATGTCAGGGTCAACAGTACTGGAGAGTTCTGCCGCAATTTTGCTAGCTAGTGCGCGATCATCCATAACTTCCCTAAGTTTCAATTTTATAATTAAACGTACACGTTAGAAAGAATATGAGAAACTATGAGAGTATGTTGCACAGACGCTGGTGATGCGAGCGTGTTTGTTCCCAGAGCGCTGTTGTACGTCAAGTTGCTGGCGCTCGCCGGGGTAGTGGAGATCGTGCTGGAGGCGTCGGTGTGGGCGTCGAGGTCGGACACGTGGGATAACGCCCGTTGGCTGCACTCGACCAGCAGCAGCCTGGAGAGCGCCTACAACTTCAACATCGTGGCGACGTTCCTGGACGTGGCGCGCGCGCTGGCGGTGCTGTGGCTGAGCGCTGGGCGCTGGGCGTGGGCGGCGCGGGCGGAGCGGGCGGTGCGGCGGGCGTGGCGGACGCTGAGGCGGCGCGCTCAGATTCAGGCGCAGGAGATCGCGCAGGCCCCACGCTGCGACAGCGACGAGGTCTCCGAGGACACCACCACCACCACCACCAGCGGGCTCTAGCCGCGTCTCAGTCCTGAGCTTCACTCCTGCCCTTTGTGGCACGCCCTTGCGCCTCCATTCCTGCACATTACATCCTCCGCCTCATCCTTGCGCTTCACCCGCGTGCCTCACGCTTTCTCTCAGTCCCTGCACTTCACACCTGCGCATTACTCTTTGTAGCTCGGGCGTGCGCCTCACCACATTGTCTCAGCCTCTGCGTCTTAAACGCGTGCTTTACCATCTGCGGGTAGTCCCTGCGCCTCACCCCTTTGTCTCAGCCTCTGCTCTTCGCCCCTGAGCTTCACCCCTGCGCATCATCCTCTGCGGTTCGTGGCTGCTGCACAGTTCCTCAGCGTCACTCCTTTGCCCTCATCCTTTCGCTTCACCCCGGCACTTGGGGGGCTTGCCGTTCGACCGTGCGTATCAGTCTTTTGTCTCAGTCCCTGCGCCTTAACCCAGGAGCCTCGCCTGTGCACTTCATCCTTGCGACTAACCCCTGGCCTCAGCACCTGTGCCCCACGCCTTTGCCCCTCTGCCTCAGCGCCTGCGCTTCACCGCTGCTCCTGAGCTTGGCCCCTGTGGCGCTGTCCGTCCCCCTTATTCCTGCAAGTATTAATTCATCATTTCCTGTCTTTACAATATTATACCAAATACAATTTGGATTTGTAATATGAGACCCTCATATTTTTGAATGTACACTTCATATGAATATTAATTTTTATAATTGCTGGTAATCATCGGTTTGAAATACTTATTATTTTTTTGTTATGTTGTTTATTCTCTAATTAATCATAATTATAGTTGTACACCAATATGAATGATCTACTTTAAAAAATAAATTGTTTCATTATAAATTGTAAACATATATCATAAAAGTAGTATACAATCTTATTTCCTTTCTCTCGATCACGAAATGCACAATACATCAATTCAGCGGCGGCGAAAATGCAACAATTTCTCAAGAAATTACCATTTTCCATATTGTGTGGTATATAAAACGTATCATGATACGTTATTAGGTTTTACATATAGCACATTGCAACAAATGCAATAGTAGCTCAAAATAGGCAACAAAATGTGAAAATGAAAGCACAAATCTGCGAACACAGTCGTCAGCAGCAAAGATACTGTGAAAATTCGGGCCTGCATCAGCAAATTTTTGCCTTCGAGTATTTGGAATCTTCACTCGAGATTCCAAGTCAATGTGCTCACTAGTAGGCATGGAAATCAATTAAATCTGATATGGAAATTAATTGAATGAGGGAACGATTCTAAACGAACGTATTCAAACAATAATGTTCATTATAGGCATAGGACGTTATATATTTATTTATTTGGAATATTTGAAACAGTATTCATTTTGAACAAGGTACACACAAATTCATGTGCAGCCACATACACTTTGTCAACATAGTTCAACAGAAAACGTTTTAAAACATGGCACACATCTTAAACACATTTCTTTGTAAAATATAGTCTAGAATAAAGGTCTTAAGAAGGACATTTTTCAGAATTTTTAACATTTAAGAAATTGCTTCATGAGTTTATTCTGGGTGATGCCTGATGTTTGAAAATTCTGGATCAATGGAGTAACAATTCCCAATGACATAGTTAAACACTTTTACAAAAATTAAAGGAAAAGCGTTCAGTTTTTACTTTCTCCCACTTTCTTCGTAAGAAGAGAAAGTTATGTAATCGGGCGCCGGAAACGGCGAATTTTTGGCAGAAAAACTC